CCATAAGTGTGAGAATAAGAATACAGAGTGCCAAGGAAGCTAAATGAGTTACCTGCAATTATGGTGGGGTCTGGCCCCTAATACAGAGCTAAGCAATATATGGAAGCAGCGCAACTCACTGTCAGGTAATTAATAGGTGTATAATAATGCAATGAGGTTGAAGAAATCGCCTGGACCACTGCAAAGGTCTAGAGATCCTGTCCATGGGCAACGAGGTTCTGGTCGGTAAACAAGTTCTTCGATGATAGTTATTATAATGAAGTGGACCGGTGGAGGTTGGGGAAAGGTCAATTGTCGATTGGCACTTTTTTTCTATATGCGTGTGTAGATTTTTGGCTGATATAACAGATACATTTTAATAGTATATAAGTCCCGCTTAGCTCAGTGGTAGAGCGCATCACTAGTATTGCGTAAGCATGACGTAATGATGAGGTCAATAGTTCAAGTCTGTTAGTGGGAATCTTTTTGGCTGTATTTTGTTGCGCATATATACTGCTCTCAAAGTCGCCGCACACTTTCCCCGGGTTCCAGGATTTCAGCCGTTCGCTGCTGATTTTTTTGTTGGGCAAATACCCCCACTGTCACTTTTTCCAGTAGTTCAACAAGCTAGAGGCCGGGGCTATATGCTACCTATTTGGCATTCGAGTTGGCATTGAATCTCTTGGGGTTTCATTTTTGCTGGGCATGCGTCATTCTCACTTGTCGGAATTGTCACTTTGTACCTACTTGGGACCCCCCCCCCTTGACTGCAGCCTGTATGCACGGCCAATAAAAAAACAAAGCCCGCAGAAAGTGTTTGCAAAACCCGCTGAGGAGATATTTCTAGTACCCAGGTGGCCAAGTCCGATCAAGCTAGGTGAGCCCGGTCATGTTGGCTGAAACGGCGCCTGAAAACCTATGCCTTGGCGAATTGAGTAACTCGAACGCCAAGCGCTCGTGAGAACTGATTCTATGACCTTCATGGGATAGCCAGGAAGAGCCAATTGCCTCCTTGGACTTTCACAGGCTGTTCATGGCCATTTGCTATCGAATAACCGCGAGCGAAGGCTCTTGCCCTGGCCCGAGATGGCACCGCCGTGTTTCGATTGTGTTGGCTTACCACATACCGAGATCGCGTACGAGAGCTCTCATACGATGACGCACCCTCTCTGACCCCAAGGTCCGCCGGCCGAACTACGTAGGACGTCGCGGCGATTCGCGCGAAACGCACACACAAAAAGCGCACTGGTCTATCTCAGTTAAAAGTTCGTCCCCGATGAGTTTCTTGAATTATATGCGCGCTCGCTGTGTTGTACCTGGCCGGGGGCGTTGATAAAAGCCTGCTCGGGCACCCTAGCTGTGTCTTCCGTAATCGGTGACGACAGGCCCGAAGCACTGCCACTGTCGGGCGTTGGGTATATAAATTACTCTGCCTGTCAATCTCCGACACCAGCTTGAAATAGCCCATTTTAAATAACTGAAACTACTTATACTCGGATGGCACCCACCAATCCTGCCCCAAAGCTCGGGGGAAACAACAAGATGGGCATCGGAAAGGTCTTCAAGACGGCTGGTCGACTCCCCAAAGGCCTCAAAGCAAGGACCACACGCGCAAAGGCCCCCAAGGTCGCGCCTCTCGAAGGCGAACTTCCCGCGGTACTGCTCAAGATCCAGATCGTAGGATGCAAAGACGTGCTCGCCGCCGACCGCAACGGCAAGAGCGATCCGTGAGTTCTATCCCTGCTTACACTACCGGTTGATTTACCTTCCTTTAGCTTCGTGGTGATCTCGTTTGCAGGGCAGCGTCTGCAGACCCCAGTCGTGAAGAAGACATTATACCCCGAGTTTCCGCCCAAAGACGCAACGTTCACGTTTCCCCTCTTCTTCTCGAGCGTTGGAGCCCTCGGCCCTCTCGAACTTATCGTCTGGGACAAAGACATACTCGCAAAGAACGACTATCTCGGCGAGGTCTCTCTCTCCGTCGACGACTGGTTCAAATGGAACAACAACAACGGCATCGCGTTCAACGACGTGCAACTAGTGCGCCTATCTCCTGTTTTGTGACGTGACCTAACAAATGTTAAAGCCATTCAGCGTCCCAATCGTTTCAACGGATAACAAGATCCCCGCCACAGGCACCATGCAGCTCAAAATCGGCTTTGTCTCGCCCACCGAGACGTCCCATCCCATGGACTTTCAAACAGCCTACCAAGAGATCCTCGTACACACCCGCCTCGCCGGCCTCAGCCTCGACACTGCCCCTCCTGTAAGCGCCCGCCCATCCCTCCGATCAATCCAATCCTATCGTGTGTGCCTCTATTGACACAAATCATTAGACGCGCGGGATAGGAACACTAGGCTCTGGAGACGAAGCAGGCGAATTCGAAGACGATGGGTTTAGCTCGGACGAAGATCCCGAGGACGACTATGATCCCAATGGGTCTCCTCCTACATCTCACTTGCCCGAGCTTGCCACCACCCGCCCGTTGAGCATTCAACCAAAAGGACCCACGGCTGCGTTGAAGCCTTCCGTGTCAAGTCCGGGGCTAATCCCGAAATTATTCTCGGGAAAGCGGCCGAGCGGAAGTAGGCAGGATTCGGCGGCAAGTGTGACTACTGTGGGCGCGTTGGAGATCAGTGGGACTGGAGCGACGACACCAACGAGTGCGGCAAAGGCGGCGGGCGGGAGGCCAGCTGAGAAGAGGCGGCCGACGTTTAAGAAGTTTGGGAGCAAGGCGCCGAACAAGGATTACAAGTTTAACACGGGGGGTGATATCCAGGGAATTGTGATGATCGAGGTGGCGAATGCCTTGGACCTGCCCAAATTGAAAAACAGTCGGTCCCCTCGTTCTTACATATTTATCGTACTCACACGATTATTTTTGGTGCGCCAGTGACTCGCACGGGTTGGGACATGGACCCCTTTGTTGTCGTCGCATTCTCCAAAAAGGTCTTCCGCACGCGCGTCATCCGACACTCGCGCACACCCACCTGGGACGAAAAACTCCTCTTCCATGTCCGGCGGCACGAGACCAACTTCAAGATCAAGTTTTCCGTCCTCGATTGGGACAAGCTCTCTGGCAACGATCATATTGGAGACGTGACGCTCGACTTGAGCGAGTTGATGAAGGATCTTCCGGAGCGGGATCCGAATACGGGGCTGTATCCTCCTGGGTCGGTGGGATCAGCCGATGGAAAGGACTTGAAAGAATTCAAGTTGGATTTGATCCCTGAAAAAGAGGCGGGTTGGGAGGGAAAGCACAAGCCCGTTTTGACTGTTCGGTGCGTTTGGCTCCCCTTTATTGATTCTCACACTAATTTGCTTTTTGCAGAGCGAAATACCAGCCGTACGACGCCCTCCGCCAACGTTTCTGGCGACAATACCTCCAACAATACGACTCGGACAACACAGGTCTCATCTCGCACATTGAACTCACGTCCATGCTCGACTCGCTCGGTTCCACACTCTCCGCTCACACCCTCGACAGCTTCTTTGCCCGATTCGGCAAACATCCAGACAACGAAGAACTCACATTCGACGAAGCCATCCAATGTCTCGAAGAAGAACTCGCCAAGCCCCGCGAAGAGCGACGCAAACTCGCCGACGAGGGCGGAAGCGGGAGCGGGACAGGAGCCGCAACACCCGCAAGTCCAAAGCTCGGGCCTACCGCCCTCGACGGACTCGACTTTACAGGTCCTCCGGCGCGGTTACCTCAGAGCGAGGCCGCGACCAGTGGTGTGGAAGCCGCTCAGGCCGTTGAACCTTTCCAGACTGTGCTTTCTGATCCTGCGGACCCTGCGCCCGTGAGCGCTAGTTCTTCAGACGGTGAAGACGATTCGTCTGGTTCGGGCTCGGGTTCGGACGTGGAGCGTGTGATTAATATCAAGACGTGCCCGCTGTGCCATCGCCCGCGGCTCAAGAACAAGGCCGAGGGAGATATCGTCACCCACTTGGCAGTGTGCGCGAGTGGAGATTGGGCGAGGGTGGACAGGATTGTCGTTGGCAATTTCGTTACTGCAAGCCAGGCACAGAGGAAGTGGTACACGAAGATGGTCGCGAAGATCACGACTGGAGAGTATTCCCTTGGAGCGGTGCGTTTCCCTTTCATCGTCTTTGAGAGGCTGGTGCTAATGCGGCTCGACAGAATTCGGCGAACATCATTGTGCAGAATCGCTTGACTGGGCAGTTGGAGGAGGAGAAGATGCAGGGGTACGTGAGGATTGGGATTCGACTGTTGTACAAGGTAAGCATATGCGCTCGCTGTTTGTGCACGACGATTTAACCCGTATCTCTAGGGCGCGAGTAGTCGTATGGAAGGCAGCCGAGGTACGTTCCCGACTCCTGCACGATAATCTATTGCTGATGTTCCGGCAGCCCGAAAGTTGCTCAAGTCCATGTCAGTCAAGCAAGGGCAGAAATATGACTCGGCCGAGTCCGCGCGTGAGATCCCGGCATTCATCGCCTTCCACAACTTGCCCGTAGACGAGATCAAGGATCCTTTGAATTCATTTAGTATGTGCTCATTCTTGTGGGGTTTAGAGCTTTATTGATAGGCGTTTTGGTGTTAAGAAACGTTCAACGAGTTTTTCTACCGGTACGTCCGTGTCATGGTTCCCTTTTGTACTATGCTAACTTTGCCGTGCAGTAAACTGAAAGAAACCGCCCGCCCACTCGAAAGCCCCGACGACCCCACCCGCCTCGTCTCCTGTGCCGACTGCCGTATGATGGCATTCGAGACTGTCAGCGACGCCACGCGCCTGTGGATCAAGGGGCGCGAGTTCTCGGTCAAGCGGCTGTTGGGCGAGACGTATGGGAACGAGTTTGCGAAATATGACGGTGGAGCGTTGGGGATTTTCAGGTTGGCGCCGCAGGTGAGCGTTCATCCTGGTAACATAAATCGGAAGATGTAGGCTAATGGTAGGGCAGGATTATCACAGGTATCATAGCCCGGTGGATGGTGTCGTCGGGCCGATGCACTATATCTCTGGAGAATACTACACTGTTAACGTAAGCCTCCTAGCATTTACACACGCATACTATTACTCACCTCCACTTCCAGCCTCAAGCTATTCGTTCTCAACTTGACGTGTACGGCGACAATGTGCGCAAGATTGTCCCGATCGACTCGCCTGTATTCGGACGTGTGATGTGCGTGTGTATCGGTGCGATGATGGTCGGATCGATCGTCACGACTGTCAAGGAGGGCGAGCATGTCGCTCGTGGTCAGGAGTTTGGGTAAGTACCGCCTATCTTTCTACCACTAGTACTGATGAAGTTGCGCTTAAAGGTACTTTGCATTCGGAGGAAGCACAATCGTAATCTTGTTCGAAAAGGGCAAGTTGCAGTGGGACGACGATATCTTGGCCAACTCGCAGTCGACGTTGGAGACGCTTGTGCGTGTTGGGTCGGGTGTAGGCAAGGGCGTTGTGAGCGCCAGTGCTTAGGTGGTGTAGGGTTTTGGTCGCTACGAAGGGGTAATT